TCGTTGGTGAGGTGGCCATGGTCCTTGTGATACTCACATTATTTCGTCAAGTCCTGTTTTGCGAGGTCAGCCTTCATCCAAGGTGACCACCTCAGAAACTTTTCATTTTGTACTTCGTAGAAGATTTGGGATACCATAGTGTTGAGAGGAGTGAACTATCATGGTGCATACCTTGGTTGTGGAGGTCCCACACGATCTCTTATATCTCCTTTTCTCTTTGGGAAGCGCTTTCTATCTCTTCGTGGAGAGTGTTCTCAACTTCTCTCCTTCCTTTGACTTCAGTCCTTCCTCTACTCCTTCTCCTTGTGGGTAGTCGAGCTCCCAACCTTGGAAAGAAGAGCTTCCTTGCCATTAATATATTTCTCTATCTTGGCTAGGATCTTAACCATGCTGGCTTGCGAATTTTTGGAGATCAAGAACATTAGATTTTTGGACTGAACTCTTAGCCCGATGATGAACGTGGTGAGGGCAAACTTCTCAATGGGTACGTCTACTTTCAGGGATTCTGAGTTAAATCTTCGAACATAGCTTTGTAGTATCTCATTTGGCCCTTGTTTCACGTTCAATAAATGGTAACTTGGCTTCCGATAGGTTCAAGCTCTAATGAAATGTGACACGAATGAAACTGAGAACTCCCTGATTGAAGAAATAGAAGTTGGGGTCAACCTGTTGAACCAAGCTAAGGCTAAGCCCTTCAGTGTGATAGCGAAGACTCGACATCGCACTAGGTCTTGATAACCATGTAGCTCAATCTGATTCTTGTAAGTGTTGAGATGGTCCATGGGATCCCTTGTCCCATCAAAGGCCTCTATCTGCAGGATTCTATACTTGGGTGGAAGAGGGAAATGCAGCACTTCTGTGGCAAAAAGAGATTATGTCTGTTAGACCAGGTCGTACATAGACATTGGGGTTTTGCCCCTCACAGCCTCCTTTATGCAACTAAGTTCCCGTTGGATTTCCTTGAAGCATTGTTCCTAGAACTACTCCTTACTTTCTTGCTAGAATTGGGGAAGCTCGTTCCTGTGAGCTCTCATGTTCTAGCTCTATACTTCCTCGTCTTCTCCATTCTTTTGAGCTCGTTGGTGTATGTTGTCAAATGATTGGCTATGTCCATTCTCCTCCGTATTTTCCCTTAAGGGATTGAGAGGTTGATGTCCCCCATGTTGGGGACCATCTGGGGCAGGCTGTGCCCTCTAGGGATGCTGGGTGTGGATGAGGTTTAAAGGGCCTCGAGTTCATTGTTTAAAGGAGGATTCGCCTTTGGAGGGTCAACCTCAGCATTAGGCAGGTTTTCCTGCTGTCTTTAGTGGCAAACTCTGGTTGATTTTTTAAATGCAAAGGATTCATCTAACTTCTGCTCATGTTGCACGTAGAAACCATCAATTACTAAAGATGATCAATAGAATTTTACCAGAACAGTCGTTTCCACATACGGCACCAATTGACGATGTGTCTATCACGATAGAGCATAGATAAGAGATTGATGGGTCAGTAAGTAACTCAGTCTGAGCTCCTAGACACGTAAAGTTTGGACTAGGGGAAAAAGGGGAATAACATAAAGAACTTATAGTAGTTCACCAGCTCAGGAGCTCAGCTAATCCACTCTCAATGGAGTTTCTTGCTCCTAGGACTTATACTAATAAGAAATGATATTACAGAGTGTTTGTTCAGGCTACAATTTCTTATATGTTCTTGTGGGGGTTATGCTGCCTATTTATTGTCGATCCTGGGCCTCGTATGATCTCTAGCTTGATCCTTGCCTCTTCCTTGTAATGGTTGCAACTATAAAGCAACGGTTGTGGAAGGTGTCGAGGCAATTACGACTCTTGTGCCTGGATATATGCCCGTTACGATTTAGGTGGCGCTTGAGTGAAAGCCAACTATCTTTTGTGCTATCCTTTTGAAGGCGTAGTTGCAGGGATAGAAGGTTTGACCTCAAGCTCCCTGGTCATCTAGGATGGGCTGAATTCCCGAGTTAGAAAGGTTTGAGCTAAATACCCGAGCTCAACCTTAGGCGTATTTTGGATATCATTAGAAATTATGATTAATTTACTATTCAAGTGTTATTGAAGAAGTGTCCAATGCCTTAGTATTTCTCCACATTACTTTTCTTAAACAATTTTAGTTTATTTGTATTAAATTCCAATTACCAATCACTCAAACACACAAGATATTTTAGTTTCTTAGTTCCTTTTCACTCTAAAATCCCCATCTCCCTGTGGTTCGACTTTGGGCTCTTCCAAGAAATTACTATTTGCTTGGCACCGAGACTTGGGTTTGCAACTTCTGAAGCGAAGCAAATTTTTGGCACAGTTGTCGGGAAAGAGGCGCGATTGAGGAGTGATTCATCATCATTTGAGGTTTGTCCAATTTTGCATAAGCGGAGATTAGGTAAGCTCTTTCCACTTTTACATACTTGTCATTTAATTTTCTCGCATTTTATTTTGTTTTGCTACTTGTGTTGGTTGTTGTTGCATGAACTCTTGGCAAAGAGAGATTGGTGGAAGGTTGATTAGGGAGGATTATGACTCACCATTTGGATATTTATTTGACACAACCCCATGAGCACATACACATCCTAGAATGGCACAAAATCACCCAATAGGTCAAAACCCTTTGCTACCACTACATCTCTAATTACCTCAATACTCACAAGGGGTTTTCAATCCTTTCATGCCACAAGCGGACCCACCGGGGGATGATGCTAGAAGTAATCATGGCAACAATGAAAACAATGAGAAAGTGAACAATGGGCATGCTAATGTGAATGGCAATTATGCTACAACATTGAGAGAGTACTTGCATCCCGCACGTATAGGAACCATCTTATGGATACTTGGCAATCTACTCGTTGATCTTGCCCTTCCATCGTGGGGAGTGAATTGAAACTTTTGGGCAAACTTTCTGAAGGTTGTGGTAGCATGTTAACCTGTCCTGGAGAGATCTTGGTCTAAAGAGACCAACCACATCTTTAGCTTGGTTGGTGACTTTGAGCATGTCTTTTTTTTTTTTTTTTTACGATGCCGAGTAGCTATATTCTTGTGGATGTCTGAGAAGAGGGCTGAGAGATATGCTCGGATCATTATAGTTTTGTTCTCATTGTTAATGAAGATCTCTTTTGTGGCGTGCTGCCATAACAACTTAGTTTGCTCGGAGGCCACTATCGTAAAACATCACAATGAATGTCGATAAAGAGAATCATGAGTTTGGCTGATAGCAAGATTATTCATGTGATAGCATTGTGGAGCCTTGTGAATATATCCAGATGGTTGACTTTGGTTCCAATACAGGGGCAGAGCTAAGCTTGGTCCAGGGTGGGCAAGTGCCCCCTCAATATTTGTTTTTTTTTTATTAATTATGTATATATATAGTTGTGCCCATCCAAAACTAAAGATAAAAGTGTTAAGCCCACGACTATCCACCCAAAAGAATTTAAAAATCAAACCAATTTAAAGCAAAAAAAAAATCTGAGTCCACCACCATTTAAACCAAAGACTCGCAGAAAGAGTACAGAACCCGGTTGAATGCATTTTCCATTTTTTTTCTTTATATGTATTTTAAATATTTCGTCAATATTTTTAATTATGCCCACCCTATGTTTTTGGCACATCAATTAATGTACACTTATATAAAATGAATATAAATTTTTTGACACATTTTGAACATGTTATGTACCTATCTAGATAAATTTTAAATATACTATAATCATTTTATACTTTCCAAGACTAGAAAAGACATAATATACAAATTAGCTAGTTTACTTATGATTTCGACATTTATTTTACTAATTACAGTAGACATTATAGATTGTACAATGAACTATATAATCGAATAAGTGATAAATACCAAAGTGATAACATATTTGTGGATATAAAGATTAATAAAGTTGTTATCTAAAGATAAAAATTCACCGGAGCCAATTTTAAATAATTTTAATTCTATATTTTGTCAAAGGATATAATTAGTCTTTTTTTTTTATTGTTGTCGTTTGTATATACTAGGTTTAATAATTTTTAGTTTAATGAAATTTTAAGTATTAAATATGATGTGATTGAATATAAATTATTATCTTATTTCTATCGATTGTAAGAAAAAAAGTATTAAAATATTTGTGCCCACCTTGACACGATTTTTTAGTTCCGCCCTTAAAATAGCTGGGGACTACTTCTCCATAAGTCCTGGGATATAACTCCCTTTAATTATTCATCAGTAAGTTACTTGTTCTTATTATTCATGCTTGCTTATGGGAAAATATATTTGTACTAAATGAAAAATATGTTTGCCTTTGTTCTCTTTCACCTGCCATGATGTAGAAAAAAAAAGGGAGTTTATCATTGTGGGAATCCAGGTGTGGGCTTTGAAAAGTCAATTTTGAATGTCCTGTGATTCCATGTGTACATCTATCTTTTAATTGATCTTAGCAATGCTCCATTCATTTAACTTCCAGGTAAAACCATGATGCTATTCACTCGTTAGATTATAGTAAATTGGTTTGTAGGTGCAAAAATTCCTGGTCATTGGTAGGTGTTATGATGGTAAAAGACTCTTATCTATCACCTCTTATTATATTTTCAATGTTCCTGTGGGATGATTTATTGTCTGAGCTTTTTGACATTTACCTGGATAATAGATATAATGATTATATATTCTGCTGCTAGCTCTTGCAATGTCGTGCATTCATTTTGAAAATTCTTTTGTACCAGCTTGTCGATATGACTGCAGAAGAGAGAACAGATACTGACAAGAATATATCAATCATGTTTGAGATTTTAAGGAAGAAGAAAAGTGTTAACCTTGAGAGTCTAATTTTGAACAGGAAGTCCTTTTCACAAACAATTGAGAATTTATTTGTGATGTCTTTCTTAGTGAAAGATGGGCGGGTTGTAATAGACGTGGATGAAAATGGCTTTCAATTCATTTGTAAGATATTGTTTTATCTAATTCTGCTGAGCTCTTTTTTCCTTCCTCCCTCAAATGTACTGAGCTCTTTTTTTCCAGCCCCAAGAAATGCTCCAGCAGCCAGTTCAGTTATGTCGGGCGAAGTTTCATACAACTACTTTATCTTCAGATTTGATTTCAAAGATTGGAAGGTACAAAATCCTAAATACAAATTAAAATTGGTGCTTGTGTGACAATAGTTTTTCTGTGCAACTGGTATTTCTTTTGTGAAATTCGTGGGTTTTGAAGCACATACCTAAGCATGTGGCTCCTGATTGTTAGTGGTTGAAACACCTCAGATGTGACCTTGACTGTATGCCAAGCTTTGCAGAATTTGAGCCATTGAAGTCTCTGGCTGTGTTCCACTAGTAAAGGATAAAGCTCTTTAAATATCTCATTGAACTAGATGGTGGCTGAATCAAAAGTTTTTCTCTCAAAGCTCTAGGGAAAACTCTTTTAACTTGCCTGATTTCTCAAGGAACTTTTTTGCGCTGTATGTCTTGCTAAGGTTCTCTCTTTCAACATATGGTAATAGGTGGCACATAAAGACAGTTTTGAGTAAAGAGCCCAAGTTTTGAACAATTCTTGGGGACTCCATTCAAATGAACTTTAAGATGGTTCCAATGTTGATGTTATAAATTGATCATTTTTAGTTTGAAACATAGTTTTTCTAATAAAAATTGTAGTCAATATAACACATGCATCAAATCACCACTAAATAAAAAAATCTTTTGATAATCAAGGTGCTTGACTAAGGTATCTATGTCTGCTTAACATTACATAAACTTGTATTAGTTGGAAGCTTGATGCAAACTTAAGCGGCTCTGCTTCATTGTTATGACCAATTCCCAAAAATACCGATCTTGTAACCTGGATAAGAGACTCCATTTTGACTATAAACAATGAGATGCATGATGGTCCTTCGACAACAACCACTATTTTATCATATGGAATTTAGCTATAATGCATAGACAGACACTTGCAGCATATGGGGACATGGAACTTCTGTAGAAGTGCCTACATAGATATGCTAGATTGGATATAATCTTTCTCTATGAGAATTTGGCAGGAAAAGTTGGTGTTAATGTCCTAGTTCTCATTAATTGGATACCCTATGGATTAGTCATGTGTGATGGCTTGCCCCAGTGTATATTTGATAATCAACCTCCTTTGAAACTTCTTTATATTGTTAAATTCGCTCCTCTAGATTTAATTTTTTTTTTTTTTTGTACATTATGCTGACTCGTGCGGCTCCAACATAATATATGCTGGTGTGTGGCTTACAGCTGATGATGGATTTAGTCCCAGAGGGAGAGGAGCTGATGCCACATAGGGATGAATTGAACAATCCAGGTTTTTCTCAAGCAGAATCAGCACCATATGATTCTGATGCAGCATTACGGAACACCAATAAAGAAACTGTCAAGGAATCGTGCCCTGGTCATGGAGGAACAATCAGTTACTGAAGACTGTCCTGAAAATGGTGCTGGCAATGCATGTATCCGCAAGTGCAAGCGCAAGCTGCAGTGAGGTATTCTATGCATGTCAACTCCTTCTGGTTCAATGGCACTAAACTTATCTCAGGGTGTAGTTTTTGTGATGTATATAGAAAGGTAGGTTGGGAATTTATTAGCCCTTTTGGATCTTTTTTGCCTCTTTCCATGGGTAAGTAGTATTTAAGCTTCTTGTCTGGGGTTGTGGGGTTGTACTGATTACTAGGGCCCATTTTGTTTATCTTGAGATCATTTATATCTATATATATTAAAATTGTATATCACACATCAGAATCCTTGTAACTGTATATTTGGTTAAGAGGCATGTTCCTTTTGTTTTCTTTCTTTGGCTATAATCAGTAATGTTGCGTCTTTCCCCCCACAAAGGAGTCATACTGCTAAGGGAATAATCTGAGGGATGATTTACTGTTTACCTCAAGGCAACTGATAGGCTTTGGGATTTGTACGTGCCAATCATTTTCCATTCAACTGATTTTGTTTCGTTTTGTCCACAAGATTAATATGATAAATCTTCAAATGCGTTAGTTTTCTTAGATGAAAAATACCGTAGACTTTCTAGTATCATGACAACATCAAGACAGTCACGAAGTAGAAGTGGCCCGTTGGCTCTCTTGGTGACTGATTGCAAAAATATTATGCTTGGCATTAGATTTTGATTTAGTTGAGATCGAACTTAAAGTGATGACAAGAGTTGAGTTGTTTAAGTGATACATTGCGGATTTGATAACGAGAATAGATAAGCCTTTCGTAGGAAGCCAAAACTTGATTTGAAAGGATGAGCTTGGACGAACTTCCTTATTGCAAGAGGGAAACAGTTCTTTCATCCGGGGATTTTCTAAGCTGGTCAAAGTTGACAAATTGATGGGTTGGGTGTAAAATAAATTTAATTTGTTTTCAATCTGTTTAGTAAGTGAGTTGGATTATAACGGATTGAGTTAAATTTATTAATTCGTAAAATAATTAAAAATTTTAATATAAATACATATTGAAATACTAAATAAAACATATGTTAATACACAAAAATATACACACTAATAAAGCAGGGTTGGGGTTTAGGTTCAGGTCAACTTTGGGGTTGGATATATTAGTGTGTATATTTTGGTGTATTAGTGTATGTGTGTATTTTTTGGTGTATTAGTTTGCGTAATACACTTTCATGTATTATTTTCCGGTGCAAGCTCATCATTGTAACATAGTCAATTCATCCTTTGACACCTTAGTTCAAATATAAGGACTCTGCACTAAAATGAAAGATATTGAGATATCTGTCGGGGTGGTTTCAAGCTAAGGTGACGGCCTTAGAAATTGGAGTAAGGTGTTGATAGAAGATCTAGTTGGGCTAATATGGACTTTTAAGATGAATCTCCTTCCACCCAAAAAATCAAAGGGAGTGGCATTGACCCTACTTGGAACAGGAGGATGTTGCGTATTTTGCGAAAAAGTTCAAAAGGTATTTTAAAGGCTCATGAGTCATCTAGGTCGAAAGAGGGGATGAGTAGACCAAAAACTCCCAAGGAGAAATGGGAGAAAGGGGGAAGAACTTGACAAGAGGTTGGAAAGAAAAGGATCAGACCTCTGATGCTTTGAGTATCACGGTTTTAGACACATGGCTGTAGATTGTCCTATTAGAAAAAAGACGGACATGCCCAAAGAATACATGAGAGCAATGAAGGCTAAGTGGAGTGACACTATCGGTGAGTTCATATCAAGTGAGAACTCTTCCTCTCAAGAAGATAAGGAAATTTTATGGTGTATTCATATTCCTCTTGTCCTAGAGAAATTCAAGAAGTCAAGTTGAGGATATTGAAATAAGTCCTACCACTATGGTCTAAGACTTGGATGAAGAAGTCCACATATGTGGGAGGATGTTGAGAGTTTTGAGGATAGACAAGATGCATATGAGCAATTGTATGAACAGTTTCTCAAACAAAGATAAGTGATTGTGTTGAGTGGTAGAGTTAACACAAGCAAAGAAAACCAAAAAGTACTCCATGTGGAGTTAGTGAAGACAAAGGATCATATTTTTGGGATTGAGAATGAGAAGAAGTTTTTTCAAGACAAAGCGAGCTTCCTAGAAAGAGAGTGTCATGGGTTTGTCTAGTCAAAGAGTGTCTAGATTCCAAGTTGATAAAACTTGATAGAGACCCTCATGAATCACAAGAATTCTCTAAAACACTTTCCATAATCAGAAAAATTAGATAAAATGTTGTCTATAAGAAAGAGTGCTAGTGACAAGTGTAGTTTAGGCTACACAAATGAACACATCACCTCCACTCCTTCCAAGACCGTGTTTGTCAAAAGTAATCTAAACCCATCACCCCCATGTAGGAACACAAGTCCTCCAAAGGCTAAAATTGGTAAGGGTGGAAACTTAAAGAGGCTAGTTAATAAGGAAACCCAAGCTAAACAATTTGTGTGTTTCACGTGTGAACAACATGGTTACTATAGTGCTTATTGCATGCATAATGGGGAAGTCTTGAACAAGAGGCTCACTGAGTAGCTACTAAAAGTGATGTTTTCTTATAGTTTATTCATAGCTAATTGCTTATTATTTGAGCCTATATATGATTGACTATTGGGTTTTCAACTTAACTCTTGTTTTTAGTGATTGATTTATTTTTCAGGTAAACAAACAAATTTGAGTTGGATGCACTTGATGAATAAGTTGCAAAGGAGGATCAAATTGGATTCAGGATGGCAAAACCATACTTTAGAACATGGATCGAGATTAGAATCAAAGTGGATACTTGCGGATGATCCAAACCCATTTCTAGAATATTGGGGTCCAGAACCCAAGGAACGCTAGATAAATAATACTGTCCGGATGCAACTTGCACCGTCCCGATGCAATCATTAAATCATACTTATTAACTTATTAAAGTCAAAGTCAAAATCGAATACGGAGTGTCACCGTCCAGACGCAATTTTCACTGTCCAGACGCAAGCATCAAAGTTGCAATTCCAGAGAGTTTTAATTATTCGGACACCATTATTATTGTTCAGACTCAAAATTGACGATACGGTGTTCAACCATCCAGACACGAGTGTTACTGTTTGAATGCCACTCTAAAGCAATAAGTTCCAGTGACTTTCAACTATTCGGATGCAGCCAATTTTGTCTGAATGCGCCTCTTTAAGTCTGCCAGAAGTCTTCATCAAGCAGAATACCAAATTTTTAGAAGCCACGTTCCATACCTATACCTATGTTATTTTGTATAAATAAAGGAGCTCTCATGTGCAGAGAGATCATTATTTTTTTTTTATTTTTCTACTTTCAAGTTCTATGGATAGTGAGTAAGTTTTCTTGTACTCTTTAATTAGGGTATTGACCTAGGATTGTGAATGAATTATTCATGTTTTATGCAATTATTTTATTTATGCTTTAATATTATATTTTCCTGAAATTCTAGATTAATTTGAATGATAGTAAAGTTTTATACTCTGTATAATTGTTTGACTATTCATTAACTTGATTAAATTTTTGGTATGAATAGTGATTTTTATTCCCTGCGAGTTTCATAGAACTAATTCTTAAATTCATATTTTCAAAGTAATCGCTTATTGTTTTCAAAACCAAATCTTCCGGTTTCCTACAGCAATTAACTTCAATATTGCTAGAAAGTTCATCGGTAGGTTTGATGTATAAATTGCATCATATCACAGCAACTGGTTAGGTTAACCAGAAAGGTTATGCACTATACAACAACTAAATAACCCTAGTAAACCTGAATGTAAATCATTCAAAAAGTTTATTTTATGTATTTGATCAACAGGTCGATGATTCAATGAGGACAGAGTTTCAATTTATGCATTGAATCAAAAGCCTTGACTATGGCAAGATTTAACTTGTCTATAATCAATCTCCCAACTATTGCATAAATCCCAATTACGTGCATTGTTGTATCATGTATGAAATACGTAATAGTATATAGATGAAATGGTGTATAGTAATAGGTTTAGCTCGGTACTTGTAACCAGAAACATATAGTAATGCGATACCAAATGGGAATAGAAATCATCTATAAGTTAAGAGAGGTATAGACATTAAAGCATAGGTAAAACATCGGCATTTCCATAACTAAACAGTATGACACATGTCTTCACCTTTACTAAAAAATATAAACAAACTACTCACACTTTATTGCTATAGACGAGCAAGAAAGATAAGATAATCTTATTACAATACAACAGAAATACAAAACCAATGCAAAAAGTTCTTCTCTGAGAAATAGTTGAAACATCATCACTCTTACTACCGACTAGGGCACAAAAGTGAGAGAGGTTCAATCCTCAAAGCAAAAAGGATGTAAAAGAAATGTAGAAGAAGAGAATTTATGGCTTAGGAGTGTTTAGGGTAGGGCATTCTTCTTTATGAATTGGGCTTTCTTCCTTGTGGAAGGCTTTCCTTCAAAATGACCAAACAAGGCTCCAAGGGAAGGTTCAAGGCAGCAGACATCCATAACACTCAATCAAGGCCTTTTGTTGCATAAATGGATCAATGTGAGAAGAGGATGAGTTGAGAAGATTTAGGCCACCATCTGAATGCCACCACCATCGTTTGGATGATGCTAATTCTCTAGTTTTTGTGCTTGCAGCCTCCTTTGTTGACTTGCTGACCACACTGGCGTTGGAATGGTGATTCACCATTCGGATGGTGCACGCCCTTTGCTAAAATTACTTCTGCCCCCTCCTTTGTTTGTCTTCCTCACTTTTATCCCTCCAAGTTCTCGTAATTTCATATGAAACCCTACAAAATATACAATTCAAATATTAGCCACAACACAATTTAACTAAAATATTTTAATTCAATTAACGCACACTATTAGTCATAAACCCTAATTTAATATCATGCTTTTTAGGGTTAATCACACTCCTAACCAAACATTACTAGACCCTAATATAATATCGTGCTTTTTTAGGGTTAATCACACCCCCAATCAAACATTACTAGTCCCTAGAAATAAAAATAAATAATATACAATATATATATATATATATATATATGCAAGAAGCTATTAAACCCCTATGTGATCCCTAGTGGACGAGTTTCGTCTAGTGAATGTTTCTAGTGAAAATACCTACAAACTTCAACAGTTAAGACAAAATAATCTATATTTTTCGCATATAAAATTAAATCATCATCCCATCTTTATGCCAGAATACTTCCTTTCCATATCACTATAAGAGTAACACACATCAAATGTAACAC